TCTTGCTTGATAACTGCATGGGAGTCAGGAACAACCCTAAACAAATATGGCTTACTACTAGACCCTCAATTTGAATGGTCACCGTAAGAGATTAAATCGCGCGTTCGGGTTTCCTTCCCCCACCAAAGGATTCTGACTGATCTGGACTCCTTCTTAGGACAATCCAGTAATCTTTACCTCTAAGTGCCCATGAGGACCTGCGTCCCACATCAACTGAGAGTCGTCTCCCTCCCCTCACATATAAGTCTGCACTTCATATGGAGGAGGTACCCACTAGCACTTGATCAAGTGCTAGTGGGTACCTCCTCCAAATGAAGTGCAGATTTTTATGCGAGGGGGAAAGACGACTCTCAGTGAATGTGGGACGAGCTCTTTATGGGCACTGAGAGGTAAAAGCTACTAGATTGTCCTAGGAAGGGGTCCAGATCAGTCAGAATCCTTCGGTGGAGGGAGGATATCCCGGTGCGGATTAATCCCTTATAAAAAGGCGCTTTTTGGTGGACAGGATTACCTCCCTTGGAAAAGATTTTGGTTGGCTTGGACCCCTTCTTAAGGCAATTCAATAGCTTTTACCTCTCAGTGCCCATGAGGAACTCATCCCATATCGATTGAAAGTGGTCTCCCCCCTGTCATATAACCCTACGCTTCATAAGTGGTTAGTGGGTACCTCCTCCATATAAAAAGAGTAGGCTTATATGTGGGGGAGGGGAGACAACTCTCAGTCAATGTGGGACGAGGTCCTTATGGGCACTGAGAGATAAAGACTACTTGATTGCCCTAGGAAGGGGTCTAGGTCGGTCAGAATCCTTCGGTGGGAAGAGGATATCCTGGTGCAGATTTATCCCTTACAATCACCATAATAGTTCAAATGACAAAATTACAATAGCTAAAATTTCGAAATCTCAAGTTGGAACCTTGTGATAAACAACTTGATTAGTGGATGCTCATAGTTTGCAAGTAATTACGCATCCCAAGTTCAACAAAATATTGAAAAAATTCAAAAAAAAAAACCTCTAGTTAGGACCTTTCTTGGTCATTAAAAAAGGGTCATCCTTCACTATCAACACAAAGGGCACACCCCTTGAAATGCTGTGCTAAAACACTGAATAAACCAAAAACACTGATGAGATGGCTACGCGTTTTGTGGATGTGGGGCTCTTGGCATGAGTGTGCCGTCTTCATATACAGCAGCTCCTCAATCAAATTCCTTTTTTCAAGTCATTATGCTTTTGTATCTCACTGTGAATCTGCCAAAAGTTCAATTCTAGACTAATAGTTTCTCACCTGTCAAAAACATGCTGTTGTGACAACCTGATCATGTTGTGTCGACTTGTTATTACTTTAGGAATGGTGTCAATATCATATCAATACTAATATGACACGGTTAATCAAACATTGTCGAATTCTTTAATATTAATGTGGATGGTATTTTCATACAAATAATACTTTGTTGTTCGTGTAATCCTTTTAATAATTAGGACATATCAAAATATAACTTTTATATTAAACAGATTGGAGGGCTTGTGCGTATTGAATCTAAAATTGTCGCCTTTAATCTATATTTATACTATTTATAAATGTCAGTATCTGTGAAAAAATTTTGATTTCTTATTTTATCTTTAATTATTATAATAAAATCAATTATACATATTTATATATTTTTATTTAGGTTATGTTTTTTTACATATATTTGACTTTCAACTTGTTTTGAGTTTTTTTTATAAGAATTTTTAAATTTTTTTAAACTCAGTTATTAGTAGTATCAATTACTTATAATTATCTATATCTATATGAAGAAGTAAAAGTCTATATATATTAAATTATTATACACATATAATTATTAGATTGAATTTTACCATCCAATATATATTATATTTTATTTTTTTGATATGTAATAATATAATAATATTGTAAACGATCTAATTAATCTATTTAACAAAATAAAAATTAATAATTGTATAATATAATTAGATGTACAAATTTTTAAAAGTGTCAAAGAAAACATCTAAATAAATGATAAATTAAGTATTTAAAAATAANAATCAAATTCCTTTTTTCAAGTCATTATGCTTTTGTATCTCACTGTGAATCTGCCAAAAGTTCAATTCTAGACTAATAGTTTCTCACCTGTCAAAAACATGCTGTTGTGACAACCTGATCATGTTGTGTCGACTTGTTATTACTTTAGGAATGGTGTCAATATCATATCAATACTAATATGACACGGTTAATCAAACATTGTCGAATTCTTTAATATTAATGTGGATGGTATTTTCATACAAATAATACTTTGTTGTTCGTGTAATCCTTTTAATAATTAGGACATATCAAAATATAACTTTTATATTAAACAGATTGGAGGGCTTGTGCGGATTGAATCTAAAATTGTCGCCTTTAATCTATATTTATACTATTTATAAATGTCAGTATCTGTGAAAAATTTTTGATTTCTTATTTTATCTTTAATTATTATAATAAAATCAATTATACATATTTATATATTTTTATTTAGATTATGTTTTTTTACATATATTTGACTTTCAACTTGTTTTGAGTTTTTTTTATAAGATCTTCTAAATTTTTTTAAACTCAGTTATTAGTAGTATCAATTACTTATAATTATCTATATCTATATGAAGAAGTAAAAGTCTATATATATTAAATTATTATACACATATAATTATTAGATTGAATTTTACCATCCAATATATATTATATTTTATTTTTTTGATATGTAATAATATAATAATATTGTAAACGATCTAATTAATCTATTTAACAAAATAAAAATTAATAATTGTATAATATAATTAGATGTACAAATTTTTAAAAGTGTCAAAGAAAACATCTAAATAAATGATAAATTAAGTATTTAAAAATAAATAAATTAAATTAAATATCTAAATAAATGATAAATAAAGTATTTAAAAATAATTTAATAATTAAAATTAGCAATACTTAAAGTATGACTTAATTATTTAACACCTAAATTATTATTTAGTTTAATTATATATAATTTATATTTATTATAAAAATAATATTATTTAAATTTATTTACATGTGAGGACATCGTGGGTCCAAACAAATGTGAGGAGAGTAAAAATGGGTACCCAACCCAACAGGAGGGCCCTACACCAGAAAGGTCAATCCCTAATTAATTAGCCAGAACAAAATATCCATATAAGCGATTGATAACGAGAGTTCGATCGAAAATGATATTTCTTTTCTTCCTCACCTATCGATTCTTATTAGATACTCTTTTAGATATTTCAATGGAAATGTACGAATTTAGGGTTAATTGAAATGGATGTCCTCAGACTATAGAGTTTGTTTCATTTTGATCGATAATATTTTAATTACATCATTTTAGTTTATAAAATATTAAATATGTTTTTATATAATTTTTCAAATAGATAACATCTAGTTTACTAATGATTTTTTTTACTATAAACTTATCATGTAATAACTACGTGACAAGTTATGAAAAAAAAATTGTTAACAATTTGAATGTTGTCTGTTCGAGAAATCGCATAAAAATATATTTAATATTTTAGAGAATAAAATAATATAATTAAAATATTAAGAATAAAAATAAAATAAAGTCTTCACTCCACTCTGTGGACTTCCGGTGTAATTCACCCATGACCCAAAAATAGGGCCTAGAAAGTGTATAGTATGGACGGAGTGAACACAGAAAAAGCAACAAAACAACGTTCTCTCGGCCGGACAAGAGAGGACAACACAGTAAAACTCAAAGATCACGCGCATTGGGCATATTGTCCCCACCTTTTCTGTGCTCATCTTTTGATTTTGATCAACTATACATACATATATATATATATATAAATTAATTTTTTTAATTAATTATCTAAATTTTAAATCCAATTTTATATTATATTTTGTGATTTTGAATATTAATTTCTATTGTGATTGCTTAAGAATTACATGTAGTCAACTATAAATATACGTTGAAATTAAAATTTTATTTAATAAAAATAAGCTGAAATATGATAGACCAAATTTTTATTTTTTAAACAATTTTACATATCAAATGGAATCTAATAAAAAATTCATCTATCCAAATGACATAATTTTTGAACTACATTAATTTAGCAACTTTATTACCGGTAAATTTTAGTTTTAAATGCATTTCTCAAATTTTTTGAAGCTTTTTTTCACCCAAAGTGTATCTAAATTTATGATTCTCCATTAATTATGTGGGTTTAATTGGATTTTATAAAAATTACAATAATAATTAAGTTAAAAAATATTTGCCAAAAAATAGATATCAACCAATGATCTTGTATTGATTTTTTCGATTATTTCTATTATATCATTCATTTTTATCAAATGTTAAATCATTTAATTTTTGATTAATTCATGAATTAATTTTATTTTTTTATTTTGAATATTATTCATATATATAATAAAATAATTAATGAGTAAAAATTAATTTAAAATTATATAATTAAAAAAAATTATTAATTTTTTGAATGTTCGAATTTTATGTTATATCATACATATCTTCAGTCATAAATTATTGCTATTAATATAATAAAATAAAATAAAATATAAAAACTCTATACTTTTTATGTTTTATAATGGTATGAAAAATATTTTTTTAAAGTACCGTAATTAGATTTAGACCCAGTTAACTATAGTTAAACTGTCGAATAGAACTTTTAACTGCGGTTAACTGTCCAGACTCTCTGCTTAGAATTCAGAGCAGTACAAAAGACTGTGTACGTAAAACTCGCACCGTAATTTTCAGTATCTCGCGATACGATACAGACCAAGTCATTTTTCCGTACTTATTTATTTAATAAATAAAATAATTGGTTCCAAGAGATTAAATTAATGGTGCGTTAATTCTTTGCTAAATCACGAAATTATAAAGTAATTAAAAGTTTCTTAATCAGAGATTAACCCCCTCCTTGTTGTTTTGTTATTGTCACAGATCTGAACAAGAGAGATAAAGATAAAGAGATAGGAATGAAATTGAGGGTAAACGACGGAGAGAGAAGAGAGAGAGAAGGGCCCAATCTTCAACTCTAGCTTTGGAGTTTTGTGATAGCAAAGATTTTCAGTTTCCAAGTCCCTTCCCTCAGGCCTGTTCTTCAAGTAGTGCCGTTTTGGTCTGTGACTGTGTATGTACTGTTACATCACAGTGTTAGGTCTGCCACACTCTGATCGCCCATGAACTCTCTCTCTCTCTTTCTCTCTCTCTCTCTCTCTCTCTCTCTCTCTCTCTCTTAGAAATCTGAGATTCTAACTCTGAATATGCTTCATGATATGGAGTTGTATTTTGACCATGATCAGTGTGTGTTCTTCAACTGCCGAGTTTTTCTCAGGCGGTTCTTCGGTTGATTCGAAAGCTGTTTTTGAGTGTTGAGTAGCAGATTTGAATTCGCATTTATAAATACTTTGTGAAGGAAACCGTGCGATTTTCAGTTTGTGTGAGCGAAGAGTAAATGCGTGGAAATTGAACGAACGTGAACGGCGAGGAATAAGTTTTTACGATACTGTATATGAAGGTTTATAGAAAGCGGAAACCAGAGAGACGTGGTCGTTTTTTACGGTCTGATTGAAGAGAAAAATCGACAACCGCTGTTGAGAGTTCGTATTTGTCTGGGACTTGTTTACAATTTCAGTGTACACTCTCTCCTCCTCAAGTAATGCTTTGGGTGGCTTTTGTTGCTTGATCTCTGGACCTTGAAAGGTAATAAATCTCATTTTGTTTATACTTATTTGTGTATGCATATAAAAGTTGGCTTTCAATTTACTTCTTTTAACTCTCAGTTAGAATAATGCTTTTTGTCTGAATCTGTTGGGCTTTTTGGTTGTTCACAGCATTTACTGAGAAAGAGTAGCAAGCTATGGCAGAAAATTGAGGCTGTTTTCTGGTTTGTGTTTGTTGAAAACCACCATTTCATTACTCTATTCGACTAAAGATATTTCAGCAATTTGCAAGCAAAACGGAGAGCGATGGAGGAGGTAGAAAAGAGCTTGGACTCTCAATTATGGCACGCCTGTGCCGGAGGTATGGTCCAAATGCCTCACGTTAACACCAAAGTCTTCTATTTCCCTCAGGGTCATGCTGAACACGCCCTTGCAAACGTTGATTTCGGGGCAATGCCTAGGGTTCCGGCATTGATTCTTTGCCGGGTTGTTGCTGTGACGTTTCTGGCAGACCATGAAACCGATGAAGTTTATGCTAAAATTAGGTTAACACCAATCAGGAACAATGAGCATGATTTTGATGATGATGGGCGTGTGGGGAGTAATGGGTCTGAATCTGCTGAAAAACCCACTTCTTTTGCAAAAACATTGACCCAATCGGATGCGAACAACGGTGGGGGGTTCTCGGTTCCTCGGTACTGTGCTGAGACCATCTTTCCTCGGTTGGATTACTCTGCTGATCCCCCGGTTCAGACTGTGATTGCGAAGGATGTTCATGGTGATGTTTGGAAGTTTAGGCATATTTATAGGGGGACACCAAGGAGGCATTTGTTAACTACGGGGTGGAGTACTTTTGTGAACCAGAAGAAGCTGGTTGCTGGGGATTCCATTGTGTTCTTGAGGGCAGAAAATGGGGATCTCTGTATTGGGATTCGAAGGGCAAATAGAGGAGGCATTGGTGGCCCCGAGTCCCCATCTGGGTGGAACTCGGCTGCTGGAAACTATGGGGGATTTTCTATGTTCTTGAGGGAAGATGAGAACAAATTAATGAGAAGTGGTAGTAGCGCAAGTCTGAATTCCCGTGGGGGTTTGAGGGGGAGGGAAAGAGTAAGGCCCGAATCAGTGATTGAAGCTGTGTCTCTTGCTGCCAAGGGGCACCCATTTGAGGTTGTTTATTATCCTCGTGCTAGCACTCCAGAGTTCTGCATCAAGGCTTCATCTGTGAGGGCGGCAATGAGAATTCAGTGGTGCCCTGGGATGAGATTCAAAATGCCNAAGGGCACCCATTTGAGGTTGTTTATTATCCTCGTGCTAGCACTCCAGAGTTCTGCATCAAGGCTTCCTCTGTGAGGGCGGCAATGAGAATTCAGTGGTGCCCTGGGATGAGATTCAAAATGCCCTTTGAAACCGAGGATTCTTCTCGGATTAGCTGGTTCATGGGAACGATAGCTTCTGTCCAGGTTGCTGACCCCCTGCACTGGCCTGATTCGCCATGGCGTCTTCTCCAGGTAATGCTGTGCTAACAGATGTCTTCGTCTAAAACAGAGAATCTCACAATTTCCGGACAATTTTTTTGGCTGAAGTTGTTGTTTTCTAAATTAGTCATATTAGTTTCTTAGATATTGCTGTAATGCACTTAGTTGGTGGTCTTGCCCAATGTAGGGTGCACTACATTTATATAGCTCTCGTGTTTTTGAATGGTTTCTTGGAACCTCAGAACTGTGCAAATTCATATAGCCCTTCTCTGTAAACAAGTTTGCTTATGTACTATATTTTTGTATAACACAGTAATTGTCAATCATATACTTCACTCCATGTGTACGAGGGCGTAACTTCTTTCCATGGTAGCGTGTTATCCATAAATAAGAAAAAAAAAAAGAAAAGAAATGATAGCATATTATACATTCACAGTCGTTATTGAAGAGTCTAAGAATGACTAGTGTATCAGCAGAGTAAATCTTTGATTACTATTATATTTCCTCGACTCAGACAAAGCATATGTTGTGTACTCTGGCAATATACCGCTTGTAAAGTTTTCTATGCCAAAGCAAGCTCGATATGCAGATTGGCCTATTTGCCCATTTGGTTTAATGTTCATGTTTCAGTTGTGAAAGAAAGTTGATCTTAATTTTGTAAACATTTTTTTAATTTAATTGTTCCCTGAACATTGAAGAGAAGGAAATGTTTGTAGGAACTTCTTATGTCGAGTAATGCATACATTTGGATTAGAGCACACCACTCTGTGGTTCATGCTGAAGATATTCTTTTAGTCCTAGATTAGATTAAGCTGTATTATTTCTTTTAGTACTTTGTTAGTTGCTCCTTTTATGCCAATTCTTTTGCAAAAGCTTCGAGTCAGGGAAACATGTCTACACCTGTGTGATCTTGCTTTTAGCTTCACTTCTTTTAACTTTTTCCAGCATTCCATGTTGCAGGTGACATGGGATGAACCAGATTTGCTGCAAAATGTGAAGCGGGTCAGCCCATGGCTTGTTGAATTGGTATCAAATATGCCCGTCATTCATCTGTCACCTTTCTCACCACCTAGAAAAAGGTTGCGGATACAGCAACACCCAGACTTTCCACATGACGGCCAATTTCCAATGCCGTCATTTTCAGGCAACCCCCTTGGGCCCAGGAGTCCCTTTTGTTGTCTACCTGACAACATTCCTGCAGGCATACAGGGAGCCAGGCATGCTCAATTCGGAATCCCATTATCAGATCTCCATCTTAGGAACCAACTGCAGTTGGGACTGTTTCCACCCAGTTTCCAACGGCTTGATCCACATGCTAAATTCTCAGATGGAATTATCCAAGGCCACACTAATGGTGGTGACAGTATATCTTGCTTGCTAACCATGGGGAATCCTAATCATAAGTTGGAGAAATCTGATACTGCAAAGACATCCGGTTTTATCCTTTTTGGTCAGCTAATACTCACTGAACAACAGCTCTCTCAAGCGTGTTCCAGTAATGGAGTTTCACCAGTTCCAATCAAGAAAAGTTCACCAGATGGGAATCTAGACAAGGCAGAAAAATTTTCACTTGATCGCCATGGTATTCCAGATAATCTGTCCAGTGCCAGGTTTTTGTGGAACCAAGGCTTTCACACAGGTAAACACGGCCTGGATACTGGTCACTGCAAAGTATTCCTAGAGTCGGAGGATGTAGGACGGACTCTTGATCTCTCAGTTCTTGGATCCTATGAGGAGCTCTACAAAAGGCTGGCAAACATGTTTGGAATAGAAAGATCAGAGATGCCAAGCCATGTGCTCTATCGAGATGCAACAGGTGCTGTTAAACAAACTGGAGATGAGCCATTCAGGTATCACTTAGCGTTTATTTCTTTTCCTTGTGGATCTGATCAAATAAGTTCGTGTATTGAGAAGGCACCTGGCTTCTTGGATTGTACTGCAGTGAGTTCACGAAAACAGCAAAAAGACTGACAATTTTAATGGACTCAGGCAGCAACAACATTGGAAGGTAAAAAAAAAAGCATCAGTTTATTAACTGTTCATATTTTTCTGCCATGATGCTTGCCATTTGTAATATTGTTTTGTAGGGAACTCTCTAATCTGATTTTTAATTTGTTAATGTTCTGCTATTCAAAATTTGTGCAAATTTGTTTGTTTTATTGCAAAATTCCATCAAAATGAAATCTGGAATTCTATATTGGCAGGAAATGGATAACAGGTCTGCGAAGCACTGAACATGGACTGGATGCTTCCAAGCAGACGGGCCCCTTGGGCATATTTGCGTAAAATACTTAATCATTTGAGCGTTCATCCCCAAGAGAAAAAGATAAAGAAGATATTTCTCATTCTGGTTATGTAGGTAAAAACTTTCCATTCAGAGAGCTTTCTATAAATATGTTTGTTTGAGAAAAGACTAGTTTATGTTTCATGCAATGTTACTGTCTACAGAAAATATTGATGCCTGATATGATATGCTTAAAGATTATGTTTTAAGTTAATCCTTTGCATTTCTTCCTTGGCTGATGAGCATGCTTAATTGAGATGATGCATGGTTAGGCCTGGCTATGCTACTCTTCTTTACCTTTTCAAAGGGAAAAATCTACACTCGGTGCTGTCTTTGTACCAAACTCCCCCCCCCCCCTCCGTTTTTGTTTGTTGGGAAGAGTTAACATCAAATGATTTTGTGACTCAAGGAGGCCCAAAAATTAAAGTTCAATCTTTAAAGAGATGGAGGTCGACCCTAAAACATGGATCGATTCTTACTTGGTCTCTCGAGTTTTAATTTGATCTGATCGTAATTATAGAGTTCTTGGAACTACCAGTTTGTTGAAAAGATTCCAACAGACAATAATTGTGTGGATGAAGATCTTGACTTAGTAGTTAAAGAAATCCTACTATTCTTATGCTTTTTATACACAGCTCCTTGGTATGAGTGTTTTCCATGGTTGTACTAGTCCATGAGGCATGATTGTATTTTTGACTTTGATCTAACTTACCTGCATTGTAGTGGAAGGCCAATGTCTTTACTTACAAGAATGCAGTTCACTTGGTCGAGATGCCCTAGTGCTAGTGCTTGTGCTTACTTTTTCCCATGTTTACTCATTGATTACGATCAGTAGGGTCATCGAGTGATGTCCTATAATGCCAGTTTAGAATGTGTGCGAGTGTTAATCCATTTAATCTTTGGACCCATCTTGTTTTGTTATTTGTGTTAACAGTCATGACATTTTTAATCTCGTGTTTAATANGGGTGAGTGTTAATCCATTTAATCTTTGGACCAATCTTGTTTTGTTATTTGTGTTAACAGTCATGACATTTTTAATCTCGTGTTTAATAATAATTAATCCTAAATCGTTAATTTCCTACTAGGTTTGGATCGCACTGAAAATGTTATATTTTTTTCCTTAAGAGAAAGTAAGAACTTGGGGAGTGATCTGCACACTATCCTTTCCGACTCCTCCATTCCACTCTCATTTTGACATTCAGTTACACAAAAGCCTCTTTGCCCAACTACTCTTGCACTGCATATATATAAAGAAGCAGAAAGAACACGAGGACCACCATTTCTAGCTCATCACCAACAAAGCCAATAGGGTTGGTGCTCCTCCAAACAGGAGCCTCCACCCCGGAAAAAGTGGACCCCCCCTCTCTCTGTGGACCACCCCGGCCGCCTCTACCCAGCCCTGAGCGGAACAAAGACACCAAACCCCCCATCGCCCCCTAAACTCTCTCTCTCTCTCTCACACACACACACACACACACATCTATGGTGATAGTCTGATAATAGGTGGCGGCGAGGCATGTGGGTTTGTGGTAAGAGGGGAAAAAACAAAGCCGCTGCACTACTAGTGAAAAAGAGAAAAAGTAGTTCACTTTTATAATGTGATAAAAGAAAAAGAAAATGAGTTCTTCTTTCTTTTTTGATTAATTCCTCACTCGCATATGTGTAAGATCAAATCTATTGGATTTAAAGGTCAAGGCTCCCCCTTTCCTTTATCTCTAAAGGGGTTTGATTCCATACTGGTGTGTATCATTTCGGCCACCCCGGGAATGTTTAGAATTACCATTGCTTAGCTTTTACATCCAACTGCTCATACCTAAAGGCTCCCGAAATGTTGAAGTTAGAGAGACTTCCTACAAAATAAAGAGAGCCGGCATTGTCACCCACAAGACTCCGCACGAGTGAGAACTATTCCAATCATGTGTCTTTTACGCTATAATTTATAACTATAATAAAATATATCACTTTTATGAGAAAATTTTATTAGTATTTTTTTGTCCGGCAAGACTATGTTACATGTCTTTAAACTTGTGCTTACAGTTTCAATATGAATGCAAATAATTAATTTCTTTTACTCTGAATATAAAATCTCGAGATAATAACTTTGATTTGGTTTTCATATCAGTTCTCTCATGGGTAATTTCAAATTATGAACGCAAATCTCCCTAATATAGTAATTTCTTTTACAATCACTAGATAAGAATTCGAGTCGAGAGACCAAGGTACATTACATAGAATAGAACAGTAGATTTGAAAATCCCCAAGAACATAAGCAGAGCAGGTGGACAGCCACAGTTACAATCCCCACAAAAACAAATTGTAATTTTATTACAAGTCCAAAGACAGCCAGCCAACCAAGCAACCAAAACGACATTTTTCCCTCGCACACGTGAGGTATGGGACCCATGCCAACTAAGATGAGAGGTGAGTGATGGTCAAATTGATTTGAATGCCCCACGTGGGCAACCCACTCGTGTCGCCTTTTTGATGGCTGGGTCCCTTGTTTCTTGGTACTCCTCTTTTTCATTGACTTTCATTATTTCGTCTCCACTAAGAATAAGAAATCAATTTATCAATGCTTTTACCATCACTTTTTTGGTTTTAATTCTTTGGCTTAGTTTACGCACACTTTGATTTATCTCTTTTCTAGTTTGATCAAAAATCAGTCATCTACATTGAAATAATGATACTCATAAGAGAATAAATTCATAATGGCTTAATCTCAAAAAATTATTAATATTTAAATTTAAAATGTTTAAATTTACATATCGTCTTTGTTATTATTTAAACTATCTTTTAGGGTTAATACAATAATATAAATATTTTCAATATGTCGAATGAGTAATATTGGATGTAACTATTATATTATGTCAGCATTGTCACGTAATATAATTGCTTAATAATAACTCAACAATTAAGTAAAATGGACTTTATTTTTTCAAAAAATCACCTATTCACGTAAGTTAGTAATTGTCACATATTCAAAAAGTGAAGTTTATTTGCCCATTTGTTCCCATCATGAATGACTATTGTTGGTCCAATTTCACCATCGCGTTTCAATCACAAGATGGGGGTTTCATCTTGTAATGATATAATTTGATTAAACGAGTTTGAAATCTACTTGTTCACTTATTATTTTAGAGCAAAGTTATAGAGATCTTATTGTAAGACATAATGATGTGATTTTAATGTAACAATTGAATTATTTGTAAGTTCTAATGTTAGATAAAAACTCACAATTAATTCAATAATTGTACATCATTAGATCTCTAGATTATATCTTTTAAATTAAGTCCAAATAATATTTTTTATTACTTTATCATAACGCTAATATAGTATAATCGTTGCAAGTAAATATATTTTCCTAATCGGAGGAGGAGGGGGGGGGGGTTGTTTGGAAATTGTCAAAGGTAGGTTTTGGAAATAGTGCTGGGAGGAAATAGCGTATTGACCAAAACAACTTTCAAAGACACAGAAATATTTCCTTTCAGGCTTTGTTTTCAGTTCCAAACCCGTAGGTTATGGAATTTGGTCCTCCTACATTGGGATGAATGAGATTGCAAAACTAATAATGTTTACCACCTTTACTTGCACCTAACACGAACTAATCTTGGTCAAGCTCATTGCATTCATATCCAAGCACTTATTTTTTTTTTTTTTAACCCTAAATAATTAACAATCCACTCTATGACATTTTGTTAGTGTTGTGGTTATGGTATAGAAATATTGTTATTTTTTATATATTGTACTTGTATCTCTTTTTTATCTAATATAAAAGTATGTGATGTAAAAAATCATTCACACTAAGTCTATTATTACAGTCTAGTCCTAAGAAATTTGGACAGTACTAATGAAAATTTATTATCTTTGATATTCTCACTATCTATGTCTGTCTCGGGTGTTTTTTTTTTTGCAACAAGTGGACTGAAAATCAGTTGGAAGTAAAAGGTGTATTTATATAAGACTGGGTTAACATTTCTAGGTTTTTGAGCTTACTAGATTTGGTCGACTAGTTTTTGTTAGGGGAATTTTTCATCCCTATTTTTCCTAGACCAAATGAATAAATTTAATTTTGGTGAGTTTAAAGAAAGACTAATTCATCTATTTTTTTATTTTTTTTTATCATTTTTAGTTTTTCTCTTACCAAATATAATGTATTATTTTTTTTATTTTTTCATTATACCAAACAAAATCTAATATGTACACACGACCCAAAAAAAATCTTCGTAATCACTTTAACATCTATTTTTTTTTTATTTCCTCAATAAAGTATCGTATCAAGTAATTGTATTGAAAATTAAAAACTAAAAAAAAAACTTATAAATATGATAAATTTCAACACACGATGTAGTAAGTGAATCCAAAAGCACTTCAAAAATTAAAAAACTTCATCCAAAATTTGATATAAAAATCTAAAAATTGATTGCAGCGAAACCCATAGCAACAGAGCATGATCGATCTTCTATTGTGTTGTGTCGTACAAACAATTATGAAGAATGTACACAAGTTGTGAATGGTAGTATCGGTGGTACTGGTACGTCAAAAATGTTAGAATATCAAATTTTAATGTTGCTAATTTGTGCATGGACCCCAGCGATCCTCTTACGTCGCTATCAAAATGACATCGACCGACATTTGCTCTGTTTCAGCACTATCAACCTTACGTGTACGGCTGAGATCTTATTGTTCGTTGTTAGGTGGATCACCGCGATTTTGACGATCTGGAGATCCGATTAGAAATGAACCAGGAATTTAACTTCTCACGAGAAATTAAATTCCCAATACTCCTCTCACGACACAACACATGGTAAAGCAAACCAACTTCCCGTATGAACATGGAGGACATGGCCAGTAAATTTGGGTTAGAAACTGAAATTCACTAATCAAATTACCTCAACGTGTAATTTGACTCCCTCGACCGTTAAATTAAAAATAATAATAATAATTTGACACACGATCTCACTTTTATATCCACATCTATTATACTCATAACACCAATAGTTTTGAACCAAAATAATAAAAGGTGAGGTTATTTGCACTCCAAAATATTTATTTTTATTTCATTTATTTTTTTATTATTAAATTATTAAGTTCACATCATACTATATACAACCTTTTAATAAGTAAAAAAAAAAAACAAGAAATGACAAAATTAAGAAAATAAAGGAAAACATTTATTGGCAAATAAATAAAAAACAAAAAT